TCATCGGTGCCAGCAGGGGTAGACCTAGGTGGTCTCTGAAGACCTTTTGAGTTCCCACAGCCTGGGGACCACCTATGGTGTCTGAATCTTTTTTTCTAGATGTGTATAAGAGACAGCCTATACCAGCCTCTGTGGAAACTTTCATATGGGGAAACTGAGGCCCGCCTTTCCCATTAGCGTAGCACAGAGCAGCAATTCTCAACTCTGGCTACATGGCAGAATTACCCAGAAAGCTTTTAAAACATGCCGATGGCTGAGGCTCGCTCCAAAACAAAGAGACAAGCATTTCTGGGGGTGAGGCCAAGACACTGTTTTTTTTTTTTAAAGCTTTTAGAGACAGTCAGTTGTGGGTTTAAATCAAGTTCCACACCTTGGTAGCCATATGACTCAGGCAGGCTTCTTTCCTTCTCAGAGCTGAGTTTCCTCACTTACAGAATAGAGATCACACCCCCGTTTTGCAGGGTTGTTGGAAAAATGAGAGATGGTGCTTAGTCCAAAGTAATCCTGCAATGATTGATGGTTATGCCTTTTCCCCTGGTCTCACAACAGAGGCACTTCACTGAAGGTTGTTTTTTTTTTTTTTTTTTTTTTTTTTAGACAGAATTTTGCTCTTGTTGCCCGGGCTGGAGTATAGTGGTGCGATCTTTTCTCACTGCAGCTTCCCGGGTTCAAGCGATTCTCCTGCCTCAGCCTCCCAAGTAGCTGGGATTACAGATGCCTGCCACCACTCCTGGCTATTTTTTTCTATTTTAAGCAGAGATGGGGTTTCACCATGTTGGCCAGGCTAGTCTTGAACTCCTGACCTCAGGTGATCCACCCGCCTCGGCCTCCCAAAGTGCCAGGATTACAGGCATGAGCCACTGCACCTGGCCCACTGAAGGTTTTTACCAAACTAATACTGAACAGAATTGGTACTCCTTGGGTTCACACCTAGGGAGGGTGCTTTGAACCACCTAGATGGCTGGTCCATATCACAATTCAGGTTACTACAACTTTTAAGCCAGCCCTTCACCTCCTTCACCACCAAAAGCAACCTTAAAAGAGGTTTCTTTTGTTAAAAACCACCTTGGCCTAGAAGCAGCTGACTTTCCAGTAGCAACAAACACTCACGGTGCCCAGATCTTGGTTCCTAATATCATTCTCTATCAAAGGAACGAGGGTTTCTTGGAGAAATGGCTGATTCTAGGACTGGGGCAGGAAATATATAAGACGAGCGTGGAGTGTCTTGTATTGCCAGGAAATAACGACGTGTTCCAAAAAACAAAACACACACCCACATGCACAGTGAGGGTGGTGTGTCAAAGGCATACAGGAGCCAACCGAAAGACTCCCAGGGGCCAAAGTTGGAACACTTTGAACAACAAAATAATTCAAGTAATATTGGATTATAGTCCAAAGTATAAAAGTACCCCTAATTCCACAATGATGTAAGTAAATGGCTTAATAAATAGATGGGAGAGAAGAGGCAAATCTCTTGCACAGACAAATTCCAAATAGTATATTAGATAGCAAATCAAGGAGGTGGAGTATAATTCCCCATTCCTTAAAGGCGGGCTGAGCACGCCGACTGCCTTCCAGAAAGTACAGTCTAGAGAGGCAGTGGGGGAAAGAGTCACTTTGAAGTGCAGAAACCCTGCGAACAGAACCTCAGCAGTTGATCAAGGTCAACATTACCAGTGGTAAGTCATTCCGAGAGTCTGTTGCCTTCATATGATGTGATTAGAATATTTTACCACTGTGGTCTTCCCCAAATCCCTAACCCCAGTCTAACCATCAGACAAGTCCTGGTTGAGGAACATTCTACAAAATACCTCATCACTGTTCCTCAAAACTGCCAAGATCATCAAAAACAGAGGAAGTCTGAGCAAATGTCACAGCCAAGAGAAGCCTAAGGAGATAAGATGACTAAATGTAACATGGGATGTGATCCAGGAGCAGAGAAAAGATGTTAGGTAAAAGATGGCCAGGCATAGTGGCTTACGCCTGTAATTCCAGCGGTATGGGAGGCTGAGGTGGGAGGATTGCTTGAGCCCAGGAGTTCAAGACCAGCCTGGGCAACATAGGGAGATCTCATGTCTACAAAAAGTAAAAACTAAATTAGCTGGGCATGGTAGTGTATGCCTGTAATCCCAGCTACTCAGGAAGCTGAGGAAGGAGAATCACTTGAGCCTAGGAGGTAGGCTGCAGTGAGCCGTGATTGCACCACTGCACTCTAGCTTGGGTGACAGAGCAAGACCTGTCTCAGAAACAAAACAAAACAAAACAAAACAAAACTCAGGAAATCTGAATAAAGTACGGGCTTTAGTTAATACTAATGTATCAAGATCAGTTTCTTAATTGTGGTGAATGTACCACACTAATGCTAGATGTTAACAACGGGGGAAACTGGTGTGGAGTATATGGGAACTCCTTGTACCATCTTTGCAACTTTTCTGTAAATCTAAAACTATTCTAAAATAAAAATTTTTAAAACATCAGCCTGAATGCAGAATAAAGGTGGCTGTTGGTTGCCTTGCTTCTGGATACACACAAATCAAAAAATGGGCCAATATGTTCCCAAAACCTTATCAGAGAAGCAGGCTGCAGGGAGGGGAGGTGGATAGCAGGGAAGGGGAGGGATGTGGTCAAGGTCATACAGATACTTGGAACAAAGGGCCTGGATCTCCAGCCTCCTGAGCACCAGCGCCAGATACAATGAAGCACTGTGTCTCATCGGTGCCAGCAGGGGTAGACCTAGGTGGTCTCTGAAGACCTTTTGAGTTCCCACAGCCTGGGGACCACCTATGGTGTCTGAATCTTTTTTTTTTTTTTTGAGACAGAGTTTCACTCTTGTTGCCCAGGCTGGTGTGCAGTGGCGCGATCTTGGCTCACTGCAACCTCTGCCTTCCCAGGTTCAAGTGATTCTCCTGCCTCAGCCTCCTGAGTAGCTGGGATTACAGGCGCCCAGCACCATGCCTGGCTAATTTTTTGTATTTTTAGTAGAGACGTGGTTTCATCATGTTGGCCAGGCTGGTGTCAAACTCCTGACCTCAGGTGATCCACCCGCCTTGGCCTCCCCAAAGGGCTGGGATTATAGGCATGAGCCACCGCGCCCAGCCTAGTGTCTGTATCTTTAGAAACAATGACATCGTTGCATGGAAGCCAGTTCCGTGGGAGCGCTATTGTGCAGCAAAGGGCCTTGCCAGCTGAAGATCACACCACACAGACTCTGCTTTCACCAGCTGTGTGACTTCAGGCAAATGAGTTAACTTCTCTGTGCCTCTGTTTCCTCATCTGAAAATGGGAACACTAACGCCTACCTGATAGAAATTGCTGAGGATCAAGTAAGATCATGCATATAGCAACTGGGTAAAAGTTGCCAGTCTTTGTACCAGCACATGCACTCAGGGCCTTCCTTATGCTTGAAAATATAGAGGTGCACGGGAGGAGTGGGGCGTAAAGACAGACAGCAGGGAAGGCAACAGATGGCACAGTTCCTCTACTCTGTTGTTCTCAGGGCTGACCCAGCTGCTGCGCCCTCAGGAGCGGGTGGAGAATGGGCGGCAGTGGGAAGGGAATGGTTGATTCATTTAGTGCAGTCACCTGCGGTCTCAACCTCTTCTGTACTCAGCACCTGGATTGTAGCAGCGTTCTCTGGGCCTCGGCTGCCTGGGTGCCTCTCCCTGCCGGGGCTGAAGGAGTGTCCGGGCTTCTTGCACCACTGAGGCTGGGATTAAGGCCTAAGGTCTTGCTTTAACTTGTGCTCACCTAGAAAATGAACTAAGTCCCGTGGCCTTTGCCTTTTGCCACAGGCCCTGAGCAACCTAGCCTGGCTTTGTCCGTTTGGAAGAAGTAGACCTGCACACCTGCTGTCCTCATTCATTTGTTCCAGTGAACAATCAGTGCCAGGCTCACTCTGTGCTCCCAGACCCGAATCAGTCAATGGTGTCACAGGTAGATGAATGCAACACGGTCCTGCTCTCCAGGGTTCCAGTAGGCTCCAATCCCTCCACTCTCTTTCATCCTCAAGGGCCCCAGCCAGGCTCACGTCCACCTCTGGGCCTTGGCCCTTGCTGTTCCATCACCCGCTACTCTCCAGCAGACTCTGTCAGCTCCCCCATCCCATCCTGCCGATCCATCCTTCATGGCCCAGCTTGGTGTCTGCCTCCTCCAGGAAGTCTGCCCAGATCACCCCACCTGGATGTGCTCTCTTCCTGCTCCAGGTAACTCGCTGCACTGCCCTTCACAAAGCACTTAGCTATCCCCTCCTGGTGCCTTTACAGTTCATATTTGTGCATGGAGTCCCCACCAGACCCTTGAAGAAGACAGTGGTAAGACTGTATCTTACCCATCTTTATAAACGTGGCTCATATCCAAACCCATCCAGTACTGGTTGATCTCAGAAAATTACTTTCATGTCTTTCCTGCTACTCACTTCTGGAGGGATGGGCTTGAGCCTTGCTAGGCCTTGGTTCAAACCTCAGCCCTGTACCTCACTAGCTGTGTGATCTCTGGGAAAGTTAGCCCACTCTAGTGGTAGGTACGGCTGGTGTCCCACCCATCCCGGTGGAGCCTTATCTTTTTAGTTGACTCCAGCCCTCCTTCCACTAGCCAGCTCTGCATCTCTTCACCCAAGGACCGTTTCTGGCAAGAGTCAGATCTTACAGTCAAGGAAGAGAGAAGGGGGCCGGGCGTGGTGGCTCACACCTGTAATCCCAGCACTTTGGGAGGCCGAGGCGGGAGGATCCCCTGAGGTCAGGAGTTCAAGACCAGCCTGGCCAACATGGTGAAACCCTATCTCTACTAAAAATACAAAATTAGCCAGGTATGCTGGCACATGCCTGTAGTCTCAGCTACTCAGGAGGCTGAGGCAGGAGAATCGCTTGAACCCAGGAGGTGGAGGTTGCAGTGAGCTGAGACTGTGCCACTGCACTGCAGCCTGGGCAACAGAGCAAGACTCTGTTTCACCAAAAAAAAAAAAAAAAAGAAAAAAAAAGAAAGAAAAAGAAAAAGAAAAGAAAAGGAAGAGAGAAAGTGCTGGAAGATGCATCCTCACAGCTCACGACTATCAGGAGTTGGTGAATAATATAAGCTCCATCACCCCTCGGCTGGGATAACCATGAGATGTGTGTTCCACACTGGCTCCCAGAGTTCCCCAGCAGGATTCAGCTCCAGTTGCCACTAAGGGTAACTCTCATGACAATGTACCTTTTATTGGCATCAGTCCCTTCCCCTGGCTTGGTTCCCCTACTGGTGCTTCCTGGGGTTACTACCCAAATAATCCACTTGCACTCAAATCCTTGTCTCAGGGTCTGCTTCTGGGGAAACCCAAACTAAAGCACTCCTCTTAGCCTCAGTTTCATTATCTGTAAAATGGGTATAATGGCCAAGTTGACCTCACAGGATGACTGCAAGATGGTATCTGCAAAGCACAGAGCCTGGAATTACTAAGCATTCTCCAAAAGGAACCACAACAGTTATTTTCAGTTGTGATTATTTTAAACTTTTTAATCTTTTCTTTTTCTTTTTTTTTTTTTGACAGAGTCTCACTCTATCACCTGGGCTGGAGTGCAGTGGCATGATCTGGGCCCACTGCAACTTCCACCTCCCAGGTTCAAGTGATTCTCCCACCTCAGCCTCCCGAGTAGCTGGGATTACAGGTGCGTGCCACCGTGCCTGGCTAATTTTTGTATTTTTTGTAGAGATGGGGTCTCGCCATGTTGCCCAGGCTGGTCTTGAACTCCTGGGCTCGAGGAATTTCCCTGCTGTGGCCTCCTAAAGTGCTGCTGCTAAAGTGAGGTGGCATGAGCCACCTCGCCCAGGCTAAGTTTCTGAAGAGAAGACTGAATCTTTTGACAGAGCAGTCATGACTATGTCCCACCCAGCTTGCTCTGGAGAGCCAGCACCTTCTCTTGGGACCACCCCCCACTGTCTGGTAATTCCCATCCACACACCTGCCCTGGACATGCCCTTCTTGATGACCAAGAAAAATCCAGAACATGGCCATCCCTTGGCATCAAACATTTTCCCCTTGGGCTGGTTTTGAGCTGCATCCTCCCAGCAAGGGTGGGAAGCTCATTCCTGAGCACCTGTCGGGGGAGCTGGGGATCAGAGAGGGTGCCGGCTGAACACCCACTGCCAGGAGACCCTGGTTTTATTTTCTACCAGTCCTTGCCAGGCCAGTGGTCCACCTGGTCTTGGCAGGACACTGCTGTGCTTCCCGGCCACCACAGTCCCCACTCCCTGTGACAGGGGCCTCTGTGGCAAGGGGAGGTTGGGACTTGGCAGAAGGCCCGATAAGTTCTAGTAATTCCGATTTTCGGGTCCAACTGGCGACTTGATGCATTTTAGCTAGTCTGAGGCGAACGAGTCCATTCGCCATCTGAGCCCTGTACTTATACGTCTGGACTCTTCCTGGGAGGCAGACAAGTTCCGCAACCACAGCAGGGGAGAGACCATCAAAAGTATACGGTGGCTGGGGGACATGAGTCCAGCTAAGCCAAATAAAACTTGTATGCTCAGCATTGCACAGGGCACCCAGACTGCCTGGGTCCAGATTCCCACTCTGCTATTTACTCACTGTGTCCCCTGGGGGAGGGCACTCGATGTCTTTGTACTGCAGTTACCTCATCTATAAAATGGGCAAGGTGGCACCGTCTACCTCCTAGGGCTGCTGTGAGGTTAAATGGGCAGATTCACATGAAGAACTTGCAAGACTGCCTGAAGCAAAGCAAGTACTCAGTGAATGCTTGCTGCTATAGAGGCATTAATATGCATGGAAAATGTGCGGACAGACGTACCGCATGCAATGTGACTTCGGAGGCAGATTGGTGGTTACGGGGCTGCAGGAGGGGAGGAGGGGGAGGGAGCGTGGGGCTTTGTTTTGAATGATGAGATGTTTTGGAACTAAATAGATGAGGTGGTGGTTGTACCACATTGTGTCTGTACTAAATGCCACTGAACTGTATACTTTTAAATGGCTAATTTTATGTTACATGAATTTCATGTCAATTAAAAAAAGAAAAAACTTCTGGGGAGTGAGTTTGGTTACAGTAAGTGGAAAAGATCTTTACTTTTTACATTTCTGTCCAGCTTGGGTTTTTGTTAAATGATGAACACATATGTGTATCACTTTGGTAATTAAACAAATTCAAGTTGTTTTTAAAAAGAAGCATCGTATAGGAGAAAATGTGTGTGGGAGGTGAAAGGAACATATGATGAGCTCTGACTCATATTTCATCATCTATCACCTGCTTATATGTTGTCTATCTATCTGTATGTCCATACGTCTATCCATCTATCTGTGCATCTGTCTATCCGTCCATCTGTCCATCCATCCATCCGTTCATCCATCTGTCTTCCCATGCAATATGAACAAGAGCCTTGGGGGCCGTGTGAATGCCCCTATTTCAAAGCAACAAAAGTGAGGCTTAGAAAATTTAAGCCGCATGCCCAACTCACAGAGCCTGACCTCCAAAACATCTTTTGACTCCATCACACAGCCCCTTATTTGCATATGTAAAACAGGGAGCATAAAGCCATTTTTTTACCCTAGTTCTGATTGACACTCTCCAGACCCTGGATGCCTGGCTGAGCTCTCCAAGTCAGAGCAGGCCAGCATGGTCCTCCTGACTGCATCAGTCCCGCCTCTCAGGTGCCCAAATGCCCAGAGAGCCTGCAAGCCACCCACTCCCTGCTCTCCAGCCATGAACACCTGCTCCCCAAAGCAGAAACCAGGCCTCGCACCAGCCCCCCATGTCTGTATTCTGGGAAAAAATTGTGGTCAAAAAGCTGACAAATGTAGGAAAGGGAAATAAACAGGTAGCCATCTGTGTGGTAGCTGTTTCCATGTGGGAGCCAGGGCAGGTGTGGAGCACGCCTGAGCTCCTCACAGGTGTGTGTGCCTACCAATGGGAGACAGCCCCACTCACCCCGGCCACCACCCGGTGCAGGATCCTGGCCACCTCTGCCTGGCCCAGACTCAGCTGCAGCCACACCGGGCATGTTTTGATGAGCTTCTCCAGGATGCTGATGCCCCGGCGGCGAGGAAGGCAGTTCTTCGGGGTGGCTGGCAGACAAAGCCCCACGCCATCTTCCTCTTCCTCTTCTTTGCCAACAGCTGGAACGGGACTGAAAAACAGAATCAAATGATCAGGCATCCTGCAGCCAACCCAGAGAGGGTTTACAACACCTGGGGATTCCATTCAGCCATGCTTACTTATTCAGCATTAGGAAGTCTGTGGCCCTCTGGGGAATTAAAAAAAAAAATCAACAAACCACGGTCTTCACCTTAGGGCGCTTGTATAGGAAACACACATCAGCCCACCTGACTCAGGATGTGAGGCTCCAAGGTGTTGTTTCTCCTTTTCTGGAATCAGAACCAGCCTGTGTGTGTTGGGATGGTGAAGGCAAACATCAGGGTCTTGGGGACAGTCTGGGATCTCTTAAACCAGACAGAACTGTCAACAGTAGGCAATGCCCATTTCCCAGCGAACCCCTCAGTTTGATTTTGCTGTTTCTTGGGTCTGTGAGAGCCAAGACTTCAGTCTGTGAGGAAACAGCGAGACACAGCTAGAGTACAAGTATAAACCTAACAGAAGCACAGTGCAACAGAAGTAGCTAACTGCAACCCAGGGTGGGTTGAGGAAAATGGGTGCCATTTGAGCAGAGCCTTGAAGAGGATTTTTAAAAACTTTTAAAGAGTAACACACACAGTGAAATGCACACGTCGTGAGTGTACAGCTAGCCACATTTTTACATACGTCTACACCTGTGTAACTACCACCCAGATCAAGATAGCGAGATCTGCGCTGCCACAGCCACTAGCCAGAAGTGATTATTGAGCTCTTAAAAGTGGCTTGTCTGAATTGACAAGGGCTGTAAGCTCAAGATATACACAGGATTTCAAAGACAAAAAGAATGTAAAATAGCTCATTAATATTTTTATTGTTTACATGTCAAGATAATCTTTTTTTAAGACAGATTCTTGCTCTGTTGCCCAGGCTAGAATGCAGTGGCGTGATCTCAGCTCACTGCAGCCTCTGCCTCCTGGGGTCAAGTGATTCTCCTACTTCAACCTCCCAAGTAGCTGGAATTACAGGTGTGCACCACCACGCCCAGCTAAGTTTTGTATTTTTTTTAGTAGAGATGGGGTTTCACCATGTTGGCCAGACTGGTCTTGAACTCCTGACCTCAAGTGACCCACCCACCTTGGTCTCCCAACGTGCTGGGATTACAGGTATGAACCATCGCACCCAGCAAGATATTTTAAATGTGTCAGGTTAAATAAAACATTATTAAAATTACCTTGCCTGTTTTAATATGGCTGGTAGGACACTTAGAATGACATATGTGGCTTGCATTCGATTTCCATTGGATGGTGCTGATATAGGACAGTTCTAGAAAGTTCCTTCTTACCCCTTCCCAGTCAACAGTACCTGAGGATGTGTCAACACAGCACAGTGGGGGAAGGAGGATCACAGACCCAAGACACAGCAAAATCAAACTGAGGGCTTCGCTGGGAAATGGGCTCTGCCTACTGTTTACGGTTCTGTCTGGTTTAAGAGATCCCAGACCCTCCCCGAGACCCTCACGTGTGCCTTCCCCATCCCAACACACACAGGCTGGTTTTGATTCCAGCAAAGAGGAACAACATCTCGGAGCCTCACATCCTGAGTCGGGTGGGCCGGAAGGTCTGTCTGCTTTCTACCTAAGGCACCAGGTCTCTCAAGGTACCTGCAGGGGGTGAAAACCTTAATCAGACAGACGAGGGTACTCAGAAAGCCACGAAGCTGTGGGTGGTGCCTTCCATCTTGCCCTGTGTCTCTGTGATGCTGCCCGGGGGTACCAGGGATCAAGGTTGGCATTGGTTCCAGAAGCATCCAGGGCATGTGCTGTCAGGAGCCTCTCGGAGGAGGCGGGGGATGAGGCCCTGTAAAAGGGCACAGGAAAGTGGAACTACCCCTGTGGGCGGAGCTCTGGGGGTCCTGGGGGTTCTCAGGGTGGTGGAGGGGCTGGGCAGCGCTAGATTAAACAGGCGCAGCAGTGTTGTGAATTTTGAGCAGTGGGTTTTCGAGAGAACTGACTGGGACTGCCTGTCATGAGGAGAGGTGTGTGAAGGTCAGTGTGAAGTTGTCTGTACCTGGGGAGAAAATTCCATCCCACATCCTCCGGGGAGCCCTGACTCTCATGAATGTTGTGTGTGCTCCTGGCTGCCTGTGGATTTCTCCCCTTGGTCCATAGCCTGCAGCCTACATAGAAGGAGGAGCCAGGTCACCAGGAAAACGTAAGTGTCCCGGGGAATGGCAGGAATCCTGGGGCTGGTGGGGGCGGGGTAGGACAGCTCTGTAGAAGTCCACAGGCTGTAGAATTGGGGCCGAACAGTCTCACTTGGAGCTCAAGGCCAGGGCGGCCTGGCTGATACTGATGTAACCACTTCCCAGGCCCTGAGTGTGGTCCCAGCATCTCGTCTGGGAAAAGTTAAAATGATGGAGGTCTGAATTTCCCAGAAAAGAAAAGAAACCCCTTGGGCTGCAAGCTTCTCCAATCCCACTTGGAAACACAAAGATACGTTCTGGCACCAAAAGACGCTATAATCATCCTTAAACATCCCTGCTTGGGCCCCAGCCTCCCCCAGGCCAATTAGGACTTTCAATAGCAGGGAGTCAGGGCAATTGGCTTCATTTCTTCTTTGCCACGAACGATGGCTTAGCACTTGGCCAAGTCCTTTCCCTCTCAAAGTCTGTTTCCTCATCTGTGCAATGGGGACTGGGAGAAGGAAGCTTCCTCTATTTGCTGGGTGGCCCTAGGTGTGACCTGGCCTCATCCCCCCTTTTTTTCTTTTTTTACCTGCAGAACCAAAGCTGTGCTCAAACAGAGAGGTTCTGGGAGTAAGGAGAGGGCGGGCCTCTCATTCACTCGGGCCGTGCTTAGTTTCTGTGGACCTGCCAATGTCAAATGCTGTTGCAGGCACAGGTTAGAGCAGTGAATAAAAGAGTTAAAAAACAACCCCGAAACCTTCATGGTATTTACATTCTAGGGGAGGAGATGGGCAATAAACAAGGCAAATGGGTGACTAGAGGATGTTAGATGGTAATACCGCCAAAGAAGAAGAGGAAAGGGTCCTGGGGACGGGGGACAGTTCCAAACTGGGTGGCCAGGGATGACGCCTGGAAAAGGTGATTGTGGAATAAATGCCTGGCTACAGGTATCTGGGGAAGAGATTTCTGGGTAGGAGGAAAAGCAGACTCCGAAGCCTCCAGTTCCTGCTCCCAGAGCAAATGCAAGGAGGGACAGTGAGAGACGGGTGAGAGTGGGAGGAGGTGAGGGCAGAGGGGGCAGGGGGAGGGTCCCATGAGCATCTGGAGCCACGGGGAGCATTGGCTCTAAATCCACATGTATAAGCACTCCCCAAGGCTGGGGGAAGGGGCTGGACTTCCAGCTAGCTACATGCCTAGCCCAGCGCTCAGGCTTCCTTGGCAAGAATAAATAGGCCCATGGAGATCTGGGGGGACCTGGGTGGTCTCAAGGCCCAGGAGGGCCTGCAGGAATCCACAGAGATAAACCTGCTTCCCAGCCCGGCAGTCCCACCTGCATCCGGAAGCATGAGGCTGCTGCTCTCAGGGTGACCGAGTGGAAACTCTGCCCCAGGCTCCAACATCACGAGGACTGTCCATTTCACTGTCTTGTGATCATGTCTCTTCCCACTCTAAAACTTGCAATGGATTCCACCGTCTAAAGAATCCAGTCCAGTCCTCTCATGTTTAAGGCATTCCCTTTCTGAGCCTCTGCCCCTCAACCCCAGACACCCCCTACAAAGGGCTCCTCTCCATCACCCAACAGAATGTGCACTTCTCCACTGGAGCCCACACTCATGCTGCTCTGTCCACCTGCACCTCCTTCAGGGTCTATTTCTTCCTCCCAAGATTATTTCCAACTGGTAGGCGAAAGTATTAGACCAGACACAGAAAGCAATGATCATAAAAGAAAAAATAGATAAGTTAGACTGCATCACAATTTAAAACTTCTGCCCCTCAGGCTGGGGGAAAAATATTTGCAAAACATATATCCAACAGAGAGCAAGCAAATCAATTTTCAAAATGGGCAAGAGATTTGAACAGATACTTCAAAGACGAAGACATACAAATGGACAACAAGCAGGTGAAAAAGAGCTCAAAGTCATTAGTCATTAGGGAAATGCAAATTAAAACCACAATGCGATACCACGGCACAACCACTAGAATGGCTAAAATTAAAATGACTGACAACATCACACAGTGGTGAGAATGGGAAGTAATCACAATGCTAGTGTACTCTTGGGGAGAACGTACATTGGTACAAGCACTTTAGACAAAGATATGGCACTTTTTAATAAACCTAAACATATACCTACCCTGTAGCCCAGCGATTCCACTCCTGGGTATACACCAGAGGGACATGAAAGTATATGTTCAGAAAGACTTGCACACGAACGTCAAAGCAGCTCTCCTCCTAATATCTCAATACCACCTGGTTCCAGTGTCCATCAGCGGCAGAATGGATAAAGAAACTGGCACGTCCACACAACGAGCGAGTAGTCAGCAATGAAAAGGAATTATCCATACGCACAACCACATGAATGAATCTCAGAAGCATTATGCTGAGTCAAAGAAGCCAAATGCAAAAAAGTACATATGGCATGAATCCATTTATATGAAGTTCAAACAGTATACTTAGATGTGTGCATTCACTTTTACCACATGCAAATTTTACACCAAAAGAATAAAAGATAATCCTAACTAAATACTAAACTCTAGTTAACTCTAGTTAGTCATGCTAACATTCAGGGGGTGGTCTGCAACTTTCTATGAAATACATTAAAAAGTAAGGTACATTCATGGATGGGTAAAGATATGTAACGAAACAGAGAAAAACATTGAGGGTTACTGGTGGGTGTATGGGTGTTTACTGCAAAGTTCTTTCAAGGCTTCTGTATCTTCTAAATTTTTAATAGTGAACTACTGGGAAAACAGTTCTTCCCATCCGTTAAGTCCGCTTCAGATGAAGCCTGCCAGCTGTATTAGAAGCCTTGGGTTTGAATGCAGGCTGTGTGACCTCTGGCCAGTTATTAATACTTTACCTCTCTGGGCTTCAGTTTAATCACCTGTGAAAACATAATAAGTTGGGCGCTGTGGCTCACACCTGTAATCCAAACATTTTGGGATTAAGGCTAAAGCAGGAAGGTTGTCTGAGCCCAGGAGTTTGAGAGCAGCCTGGGAAATACAGTGAGACCACATCTCTACAAAAAATTTTTTTGAAAACTCAGCCAGGCATGATGGCACGTGCCCCATGTAGTCCCAGATACTCAGGAGGCTAAGGTAGGAGGACTGCTTGAGCCTGGAGGTGGAGGCTGCATCGAGCTGAGATCGCCTCACTGCATTCCAGCCTGGGGAACAGAACGAGACCCTGTCTCAAAATGAATGAATGAATAAATAAATAAATAAAATTAAACAAAAATAAAAAGAAGTAAAAACAATGTAATTGTCTTTATTTAAGAGAGTTACTGGGAAAATTTCATGAGTTGTCAACTAGGTAGCACAGTGCCTGACACACTATTCAGTAAATGTTACAGTTTTTCCAACCCTCCAACCCCCAAGTTATAAACGCTTCTTCCTCTTCTGCTACAGTTCTCTCACTTTAAAGCCTTGATTTTGGGACTAAGCACATTTGATTGACGTGACTGTGGCCCACATCTGTGTGTTGCTTGTCTTGTGCCGAACATCTGTCCCCAGGGTAACCCACAATTTCAAGTGCCTGGGAACCACACGGCTTGGCACAGACAGAGAAACAAACCACTAGAAGGATCCCTTTCCCACCCTGTGCAAAGTCAACAAGGCCTAGGATCATCCCAGGCACCTCCAGGCCCCTCGGAGCACTGAGGGCTGAAGGTGCCAGCCTGGGGGCTCAGACTCAAACACCAGTGAGGACAAAGGCCCCTAAGCCTCAGCTTTCCAGGAATTGCCCAACCCTTGTGATGCTCTCCTTCCCCTCTGGGTGGTCCAGTGTGGCTGGAACAAAGGGCCCTCCCAGAGACCTGCTCAGGGCCCCCAGGAGGGTAGGCAGAAGCAAGGATCCCAGGGTGGAGAGGAATCTGTAAAAGGTCAAAGGCTGCAGCCCCTTGGCTTCGAGCAATGTCTAGAAGTTAGAGAAGAAACGGCTGGAGTTAGGGAAGTATGGACCTTGAACTGGGTCCCAGAAGTAACAGGACTCTTAAGGGACAAAGTAACATGGCATCTTCTCTGTCCAGGCCTAAGAAGGGTGGCAGAGCCAGGCAGTTGCCACAGGTCACTGGAGTTCCTGGGTGTCCATTTCCGACTGGAAAATGTCCGTGCCAAGGACGGCGCTTGGGGCAGGATGGCAAAGATGGAAGTGCCCAGAGTGGGTGACACACAGGCTTTGTTTTACAGCTATGATGACTCTTATCATCTGGCCTGGCCACAGCAGCTCCAACTGCCAGGAACCGTCGCTAAGCCCACCCAGTATCGGATCAGCCACCTGCTGGCAGAGCCGGCTACTTCGACACCCACGCTCTCCCTCTTACCAGCTGAACTCCAGCTCCGCTAAGGACCCTGCAAAGGCAGAACCAGGGACCCTGGGGAATGAAAGGCGTTGTTAGAGCCTTGGAAGCTTTGCAGCAGCTCCACCAGAGAGAGAAATTGCTCCACAACGGGTTGTTCTCCCACTCACGGAGAACAGAGCAGTGAGCTCAGAGCAGCAGGCCCACAGGCTTCTGATCCTACGGCTGCCGCCGGACACCCACCCAGACCGCCCTGCCAGACGCAGTGCCAGCAGACACTCAGGAAAACCCAGCCCCTGGGCTGCAGGACTCAGCCTCTCAGCTTCTAGGGGGCTTTTCTCACCAGCTCCCTAAAGGAGGGCGGGAATTGCCTTGAGTGTGCCCAGCTCCTGGGCATGGTGCCTGTGTCTACATCCAGGCCTATTCAGCCGGGGGAGCAGCAGGGGGAAGCTCCGCTCCAGGGTGGAGAGCTGGCCCAAGGCGCTGACCGAGGGTGGGGACAGAGCGGTGAGCATGGCAGCTTGGGGTGTGGGGCCCTGGCTGGATGCTGCCTATTAGGGGTAGGGGAAAGGCGCAGAAGTTTCACAGGGTGCCGGCTTCGGGCTGCCTATGTCAGCCCCAGGAAGCAGCTCAGAGAGTTCCAATGCAGCCTCACGGTGGGAACCGAGGCCTTCCTGTGTAGACTTGGCCAGGACATGCCAGGGGGTGGGAGGGGGACGGAAAGGGAGGACCGGAAAAGGCCGTTACTACCCCACCTACCATCCTGACCCAAGGCCGGGTGGCCTCCCAGCTTCAACAAGACAAAGCGGGTCTACAGGAATGGAGAGGCCTGGTCCCTGGGCTTAGAGGGCTCTCAGGTCAATAGAAGCCAGTGTGGCTCTGGTGATAAATGTTACAGGATGGCCAGGTCCCTCTGGACAAAGCACCACGAGAACACAGAGGGAGTGCAGGGGCCGGCGTGGGAGGGAGCCCTGGTGACGCCAGCCAGGGCAGCAACTTGCCTGTTTCATGTATTCATAGTCCATGCCATACCATGCCCACTGCGGGCCCCCAAATCCTGTTAAGTCAGTCACCCTCACACCTGCCTGATTCAACCTCAGAGGTTGAATTGTGTCCCACGAGAAGATGTGTCCAAATCCTAACCCCAGTACTTGTACATGTGACCTTATTTGGGAAAAGGATCTTTGCAGATATAATTTAGGCGACTGAGATGAGATCCTCCTAAATGTAGAGTGAGACTCCAATGAGAGGTGTCCCTGTAAGAAGGAAAGACAGAGAGACACAGATGAGATCTGTGTGAAGGCAGAGGCAGAGACTGGAGTTATGATGCCTCAAGCCAAGGAGTGCCAGAGGTAGACAGCCACTACCAGGAGCTGGGGGACAGGCCTGGATAGATCCTCCCTTAGAGCCTCCAGATGGAGCCTTTCCAGCTGAAACCTTGGTTTTGGATTTCTGGCCTTGAGAACCACAAGAAAATACATTTCTGCTGCTTTAAGCTGCAAAGTTAGTGGTAACTTGCTACTGCAGCCCTAGGAACCGAATATACCTACCCTACCGCTAGTGGTCTCATGTAAAGACGAAGACACAGAGGCACAGAGAGGTTAAATAATTCACCAAAGGTCACACGCCAACAAGTGGCAGAACTGGGATTCAAACCCTGGCAATCTGGCTCCAGAGTCTATGCTTCTAACCACTTTACTCTTCCGGCTCTTGAAAGTTTAAAAAAAAATCTCATGTGTACATATCCTGGCATAGAAAGGGTGTTCAATAATGTTCATTATTCCACTTGGGAATACAAACACACACAGTGACATAGAAATACACATAGAAATAATTTCCAGAAGGCTATGTAAGATGTCATTAGACTTATTTCAGAGAAGCTAAGGGGGTTTGTTTCAAATTTTTATAATAATTACGCATTGTTAATATGATTTAAAATCATCTTAAATAGGCCAGGCGCAGTGACTCACGCCTGTAATCCCAGCACTTTGGGAGGCCGAGGCGGGTGCATCACCTGAGGTCAGGAGTTTGAGACCAGCCTGGCCAACATGGTGAAACCCTGTCTCTACTAAAAATAAAAAAAATATAGCTGGGTATGGCTGCACATGCCTGTAATCCCAGCTACTTAGAAGGCTGAGGCAGTAGAAATACTTGAACCAGAGAGGCAGAGGTTGCAGTGAGCTAAGATCGTGCCACTGAACTTCAGCCTGGGTGACACAGCGAGACTCTCTCTCAAAAAATAAAAAAATCATCTTAAATAGGCCAGGCACAGTGACTCACGCCTGTAATCCCAGCACTTTGGGAGGCTGAGGTGGGAGGACTGCTAGAGTTGAGGAGTTTGAGACCAGCGTGGGCAATGTAGTGAGACACTATCTCTACAAAAAAGTAAAATAACCAATTAATTAAAATAATTAATTAAAATAATTATTTAAATAATTTTAAATAAAAATTTTAAAAATTAAAATAATCAGGCACAGTGGTGTGCACCTATGGTCCTAGCTACCCAGAAGGCTGAGGCAGGAGGATCGCTTGAGCCTAGGAGGTCGAGGCTGCAGTGAGCTGTGTTCACGCCACTGCACTCCAGCCTGGGTGACAGAGCAAGACCCTGTCTCAATAGTAATAATAGTAAAATAAATAAAAATCACTTAAATAGTTTTCTTATCTGTACAATGGAGCTGGTAATACCTGGCCCATTATAACACTTCTAATAGGTCACATTTTTCTGGATGTAGCAACCACACATGTGGTCATGCCCTGTCTCTCCCAGGGACACCTGTTGCTTTGGGGACACTGGCCAACCTAGTCCACCAGGGACATCTCATTCCCCCAAACAGGCCCTACTCACCCCAACTGTTCTCCCTCGCTACAGCAGGAGAAATGGTCTGAAGCTGGGGGCGGGGGGCAAAGCTCCCCAGAGAATGAAAACAGGTGCGCCCACTATCATGACAATCTATCAAAATTTAAAAGAGAAGAAATGCTGGAGCCCAGATTCCAGCAGCCCCACTCCCCGGACACCCGCCTTTACATGTTTACAGATGGCCACTGCTGCTACAGCATTTACTACAAGGAGAAAATGGGGAAAGTCAAGGGCCGCCACAGGAGAATAGATAAACAAAGCTGTGACTCAGTCCACTCTGGACAATCACACAGCTGTTAAAAGGCAGGAACTGCAATAAATCAGTGGAGTGGCTATAGTAAACATTAATCTATTGTATATTTCAAAACAGCAAGTAGAGAATAATTCGAATGTTCCCAACATAAAGATAAATATTTAAGGTGATGGATATCCCAATTCCCTGATTTGATTCTGATACATTATATGAATGTGTCAGAAGATCATATGTACCCCCAAAATATGTACACCTATTATTTATCAATAAAAGAAAAGGGCCAGGGGCCAGGCGCAGTGGCTCAGGCCTGTAATCCCAGCACTTTGGGAAGCCGAGGTAGGTGGATCATTTGAGGTCAGGAGTTCCAGCCCGGCCTGGCCAACATGGTGAAACCCCGTCTCTACTAAAAATATAAAAATTAGCCAGTTGTGGTGGCGGGTGCCTGTAATCCCAGCTACTAGGGAGGCTGAGGCAGGAGAATCGCTTAAACCCAGCAAGCAGAGGTTACAGTGAGCCGAGATTGCGCCACTGCACTCCAGCCTGGGGGACAAAGCAAGACTACATCTCAAAAAAACAAACAAACAAACAAAAAAAAAAACAAAAAAGAAAAGAAAAGGGCCAGAATCAATGCTACATAGATGGTTAAATCGCAAAATTCTGTTTATTGCATGAATGTTAATTTCTTGATTTTGATCCTTGTCCTTGAGAAATACCCACTGAAGTATGTGGGATAAAGAGATAAAATGTGTGCAACTTACTCTCAAACCGTTTAGAAAAAAATTAGAAGCCAAGTGTGCTGGTGCATGCCTGTAGTCCCAGCTATTTGGGAGGCTGAGGTGGGAGGATCACCTGAGCCCGGGGAGATTGAGGCTGCAGTGAGCAGTGATCACACCACTGCACTCCAGCCTCAGTGACAGAGTGAGACCCCATCTCGAAAAACAAAAAGAAAAAGAAAAAAACAAAAAAAATGAGAGAGAAAGAAAGAAAGAGTGCAAACAAGCAAATGTGACAAAATGTTAATAATTGGTGAATCTGGCAAAAGGAGTGTACAAACAAGAATTCACGGTACTATTCCTGTAACTGTTCTGCAAGTCTGAAATCATGTCAAAATGGAAAGTTAAAAGAAAACATTTTAAAAGTAATCAAACAAACAAAAAAATCAACCCTAATGCGTGAAATAAGCAAATTACGGAAGGAATGAAAACATGTATGTAAAGTATAAAAAAAAAGCACCACAGTTCTATATCCTGTTTGTGGATACGTGCACACACCAAACTAAGGAAGATGGCTGCCCTTGCGCTGAGGAGAAAAATAGCATCAGGGAGGGGTGCGAAGGAGGTTTCAACCAGTTCTGCAATGATTTATTTATTAAACCAAACAAAAAGATCTGGAGCAAACATGGCAAAGTGATAGGAATTAACAAAGCTGAATGCATAGGGCATTGCAATGTTTTTCTTTAGACTTCTCTACACTTTAGATATTTAATTTAAAAAAAAAAACAAAAACTCACATGTATATACACACACCTACCCCCAGGTCCCACAGCATGCCACAAGTCGAGGAAATGTGGAGTGCAGCAGAGCCCAGGCACCCAGGTCTGTTCCTTCTGCCAGCGCCATGTCCCCATGACCACTCCAACTGTTTTTTCTTGGCATTTTAAAGTCAGTTCAGAAGCTCGAGCGTCCCATCAAGGAAGGTCATCAAGATGAGTCTAGCCTTGGGAATAGATTCAACTGGCCAGCCAAAGAATCAGTGCAAGGGGACTTTTTGGGACCCCACTCTGACAGCTATCACAAGCCACCAGAGCAGAAGCCAGAGAAGGTCATTGGGGCCAAAGAACAGCTGATGCCAGAGGACATCTTACTCTGAATTTCCTGGTTCCAGGTCTTCACCTGTAGACCTGTAGGCGGGAAGAGTGCAGTGTGGGCTGCAGGCATTTGGGGCTGGGAGAACTCCTCACTCCTCATTCCATGCTGTGATGAACAGATACAGGCTTCAGGCTGGGTAGGGCCTGTGATCCTGGTGAGCTCCTCCACCTCTTTGAGCCCAGAGTCCTCTTGTGGGAAGCAGGGAGACTCTGCCACCCAACTCAAGGATTGCATGAGGATTGAATGGGACAGTGTAACTAAAGAATCCAGCCCACAGCTGACTTTTAGCAAGTGGTAACCACCAAATGAGATGGGGCGGGGGAGCTTCACTTACAGTTCATGGAGAAAGCTAGGGCTGAATTAGACATGGAACAGAGCGGAGAAGGAATTCCCACTGGGCAGGGAGGTGGATCTCAGACTGTTAGGAAGGAGGTGAGCACGCAGAGATACCTGTTGGAGTATCTGCTTTGGATCAGAAGTGTGCAAAAAAAACACCTGTCTAGGACAATGAATAAGTAAATGAAGAGCAAAAGCCTTCCAGCTGGGCCAACATAGTGAAACCCCGTCTCTACTAAAAATTAAAAAATTAGCCGGGCGTGGTGGCGGGCACCTGTAATCCCAGCTACTTGAGAGACTGAGGGAGGAAAATCTCTTGAACCCAGGAGGAGTAGGTTGCAGTGAGCCAAGATTATTAAAAAAAAAAAAAAAAAAAAAAGCAAAACCCTTGATGTGTAGCAATTGCCCGTTTCCAGGGTGTAGGGAGTAAACGCTCCCACCATTGCTGAGGTCAAGCTCTCTAAAGGTTTACACCTGGCTAGCAAAATTTCTGGATAGTTAACAATAGGCTTTTGAGAGCCTAACCCTAACACTTCAGTTCCCTCTCTACCATCCCTAGCAAGCAGCAGTTGTATCTGTTTGAAGACCTTGAATCACATGAGCTAGCTACCTCAGCAGGCAACCCATTCTGAGAATTCTCAATTTCTATTGAGATGAAATCTGTTCCCCTGAAGTGTTTCCTCTTGTTGCTTTTTCTACATTTTATAGGGC